GAGACATTCATGCTGCAGAACATCTGGAGATGATGTCAGTAGGAGGGAATAGTCACCCAGTGAAGAAGACTACGGACAGCAGTGAGCATCCTCTTCATCAGAGACTGTAAGCTTAGCCTGAGGTGCTTACCTAACTGCATCGTCCGGTTCTGCAGCCTTTCCCTCCTCGGTCCAGTCGGCTCTGGCTCCGTCCATGTCCTGAGCGCTCTTTGGATGAGCCGCTGCATCTGGAACAGAACTCCCTGTAACCGGGCCGAGGCCAGCTGGTGGTTCTGCTGCCGTGGGCCTTGGAGATGCCAGAGGACCAACAGAGGTCAGGAGAACCTGAAAGAGGGGTTCTAAGGAGGACCAATCACAGCGAGGAGCGGGCAGACCTGAGGCATGATGGGAGCCACTGACAGCAAGACGGGTCCACTTCTGGGAACTGGCTGGTTCTTCTGGGTCAGATGCAGAGCTTCTGGGCTCAGTGAGACCACACTGGCTGCACTGATGATGATGATGGTGAGGGGGAAGGCTGAAGAGAGGGCGGGGCTTATCACACAAAGATGAAACCTGAGGGAAGGTTTGCTTCTGGAACTGAAGGGGAGATGAGGTCCTGTACATCTGCCACAACTGTTCCCAGGTGATGCTGGGAACGCCACAGCTGCATTCAGGAACCGGACCGACCCAGTTGCTAACGTCACGGCTCTGCTCTGAGATCCACAGTTCCAGATGTGTGGCGACGGTTTCTGCTTGCCGGACGGCCAGAATCTTCATCAGTGATGCAGTAAAGGGCTGAGGAAGACCGCGGCAGAGTTTGGACTGACTGAGCTGCTCCTCCACTGCCTGCTCAAACTGCTCCGCTCCTGCTAGGAGGTCCGCCAGAACCGGGTCGCTCTCGCCGCTTCCCAGCACAGACAGAACCCCGTAAACATACTGATCCATTAAGACCAGGAGCTTTGAGGCCTGCATGTCCAGAGTCCGCTTCATTTCCTCTAGCATTCTAGTCTGAGGGAGCAGGGCCCGCCTCAGGCACGGGTCAGAACCCACTCCACTGTAGAGGCAAGTCCAGTGGGTCAGATGGAGGCGGAACTCCTGGATTAGAGAGACCAGGCAGGTTCTGGATGAAGGCGAGCTGGACGGGACCTGAAAACAACGGTCCAGTTTAGGAACTGATCCTCCAAAAACAACAACAAGCAGTGAATCTTCTGGGTACCGGTCCACTTTTACCCCATAGATTCTCTCTGCAATCAGGCATGCAACCAAAACCAGTCTGACCAGGGAGTTAGCAACGCATCACCTCCCCCAACAACCACTAACCCCCCCA